ATGTGATAGGAATAATGGGGGCTCACGACACATACTCCAAAGTATGGCTTACAAGACCAGAATGTGCTACCTGAAATTCCATTTCTTTGGCATATTTTGACCTGGTTATTTTATGAAACTGCAGACACAGGAAAAAACTCTCCTTTTGTAAAAGAAATTTACATCTCTAAAGGAAATCTATATTGGTAAAGTATCTACATCAGAAAGAAGACTGCTCTGAGATCACCTCTATTACCTGAGAGACTTTTATGTGCAGCTTTGATTCACCAAGCATTTAATCCTCTCCACTTCCAGTGGCCTGACCTCAACCCAAAGCCACAAGCTCCTATTCCTTTCTGTAGCTCAGCTAAATAAGCTCCAATCCTCTAGCCTCTTCTCATATTTCATGAAACTCGTGCCTATGCATGTAATTGAAATGTTTTTTCCCCATTAATCTGTCTACTATCAGTTTATCTCAATACTCTAGCTTGATCTATTTTATAAGAGAGAAAGTAGACAAAAATCCCAAAAGATTGCAGGTGCTTGAGGTCCCTCAAAGCCTCTCTCAACAAAATGGGCATCACCTTAGACAAGCCTCAGATAATTCTCCTTTTTTTTTTTTTGTGGTACCAGGGATCAAACCCAGGTCCTTACGCTTGCAAGGCAAGTGGTGGAACCACTGAGCTAAATCCCCAGCCCCTTGGGTAATTTTTAATGTGCCAAATAAAAATGTAAGTTTTCTTTTAAATACTGGGCATGTAAATCTGCCTTACTCAAATCTCCTGGACCCTTTTCTAATAAGACCTATATTGTGATTGGTGCTGATAGTATCCCTAGGGCCAAACACTTTATAATGCCTCTAATCTGCAGAATTGGGAAACTAGCTTTTACTCAGCTTTCCTAGTTTTCCCAGAATGTCCTACCCCATCATTAAGAAGAGATTTTTTTTTTCCCCCTCTTTACAGGCAACTCTTTCTCTGGCACCAAAATATTTATCCCCTTTTAGGGGGACATTACTAAAAGGCCCAAGAAGTTGCTAAAGCTTTGTTAAGAGACATTATTCCTAGGTTTAGACTTTGCAAGTCACTCCAGATTGATAACAGACCTTCTTTTGTCTCCAAAGTGACACAAGAAGTTTCACAACCCTTAGGAATAGTTTATTATCTTCATATTCTTGGCATCCTCGGGCATCAGAAAAGGTTAAAAGGGCCAATTTACATATTAAAACCACCTTGAGAAAAACTATGCCAAGAAACCTCAGAGTCTTGCCTAAAACTGTTATCTATTGCTTTACTAAGGATTAAAATTGCTCCTAAAGCCTCTCATTAGCTAAGCCTTTAGGAAATGCTCTGACAGGCCATTTCTAGCTGCTGATCTAGTCACGGACCCCAAAACACAAAAAATGATTAAATAAATCATCAATCTAGGTAAGTACAAAAGACTTTACTAAAATATGCAAGTAAAGTCCTTCCAGCACCAGACTATGAAACTCATATCCCTAAAATTCAACCCAGGGATCATGTGTTACTTAAAGTTTAGAAAAAAAGAGTCACCTTTAGATCAGCACCTTCCTAAATGAAAGGGCCCCTACCAAGTTCATTTAAACACACCCACAGCTGTCAAGTTACAAAGACACACTTCTTGAGTTCATTTATCAAAAATTAAACCTAGGCCAGGGATCTAGCGGTTCCTCTGCCTGCCCCTTAAGCACAAGGTCCCAAGTTTGATCCCTGGTACAAAAAAAAAAATTAAACCTGCTCCTTTTGAGACTCTACAGGATCAAGAAGTCAAAGAGTCAGAGACCTGTGATCAGTACTACTGTACTCCTTTAAAAGACAAATATTCTTCAAGAAGAATAAGAAAGCTAATTCACGATCAGTTAAATGAGTTCATTTGGCCTAAATATATTCTCTCACACCTGCACTATCTCTGTTAAAATCAAAGTCAGATTATTCATTTTTTTCCTAACCCTTATACCATTTTCCAGTAAAGGAACTAATGTTTTCCTGGGCCCAGCAGTATGCCAAAAGCATTAACAAAGATGCATGTGAACAACTGCCCATTTCTAGTGCATTTGGGCTACCATGATTGGGTATCATCTTTACAGAGAGAGGATTAGATAAAACTTCAAATTTTTATAGAACAGCTACAAAGCACAACAATAATTTTAAACCTTACAACCAGGTCTAATGTCTCTCAATGACCAATAAATGAGACTTTTCATCAAAAAGGCCAGAAGAAAAACTTTTCTCTAGCCACAATTAACATTCTTTAATAACTGGCTGTCATCCTGTTTCCATAGAATAACCTGGTGGAAAAAAGTCCTCATTTTTTCCTAGGTATGATACTGGGCATTAGAATTTTTTTTTTTTTTTTGGTACCGGGTATCAAACTCAGGACCTTGCATTTGCGAGGCAGGCGGTGTAACCCCTGAGCTAAATTCTCAGCCCTAAAATTCTTGTCTGTTGCATGATTCATCGTTTTGTGGGCTAATGTCTCATATGTCTTTGCCTTCTTTTTCAGACTATCAAAAGATAATGGCTCTTCATAAAATAAAACTCAATATTTCGGTCCCTGGCTAGGTATGATCAACGCCCCTCCTCAGCCTGAAGCAGTTACTGGAGGTGGACCATCAGCCTTCTGCAAACCCTTCAGAGTAAGGGACCAAAGTCTCAGGGGGAAAATGAGGTTGGATAGAAAAAATAAAGCGAGCTAAAGAAGAAAGAAGAAAAATCAAAAAAAATTAAACTGTATTTTAAAGAAAACTGCAGCTTCAGAACACAAACCTGGCTTATTTACTTTTTTTTTTTTTCTTCCTTCTCCCAAAACAGCAAAACTGAGCAATTCCCTTTCAGATGCAAATGAGTCTTCCCATTCCCTTTTACTTCAAAATGGTTCTCTTTCACCATAAAGGGACCTCCCTTTTGGCATTTCCCATAGAAATAGCTCACTAAATGTGGGCCATCCTCTCTCATCCTTTAAGACTAAGACTGAGCTTGAGACTAGGACTATAGATTGTTGAATTCTACAGATTTCCACCTCCCAAAACACATAAAAGATCCCCAGTTCCCAATTGTATTGTGTCCCATTTCTTTGAGCACCCACACTCTGCTCTTGAGTGTGTCTTATACCTACTTCTAATAAATCCTTCTCATGCCTCTTTTATTTTTTATTTTTATTTATTTATTTTTGGTACTGAGGACCAAACTTGGGACCTTGTGCTTGCAAGGCAGGTGGCAGAACCACTGAGTAAATCCCTGGCCCATCCCTTTTACTGATGCATCCTAAAATTCTTCTTCCTCAATAGGAGTCAGCAAACTTGCATACTTATTTTAAAGGGGTGGCTTAAATTCCTTATTTCAGCCTCAGGGACCCTCAGACCTAACCCATAACAATAGAAAGTTGTCTCTTTCACACCGTGTACAGGCATACTTCACTGTATGTATTAAAAGTCTTCAGGGCCGGGGATTTAGCTCAATGGTTTCGCTGCCTGTTGTGCAAGCAGAAGGACCCGAGTTTGATCCCCAGTACCAAAAAAAAAAAAAAAAACCATGTCTTCAGACTAAAATGTTAATTGAAAATACAAAAAAAGCGACTGCCCTTCTGGAAACCTTCCAAAGCATTCCCTTTGCACTAGAAATAAAATGCAGATTCTTGTAATAAAACACAGTCCCTGGAGACCTCCCTTATCCTATATTCTACATTCAATCTTTGAGGCAACAAATATGTACTAGTCACCTACTGTGTGTCAGACACTACACTAGATTCTAGGGATACAGCAGTGATCCAAATCAACAATAATTCCTGACTGTGTGGATCTGACCCCCTGCCTTCTTCCTCAACAACCCTATTCCCCCCAGAAGGCCCTAGTACTTCCTGAAATTATCTAATTTCAATTTGCATGTGGCTATGAGCTCAAGGAGGGCAGGGCTCTTTTCTCCATTGCTCATAGCTGCAGCCTCAGCTCTAGAACAGTCTTGTTTATAGTTAGACCTCAATAACAATTAGGTGTAGAAATATTGCCTAACAGTAATTATTACATGTGCACCTAGTCCTGTTTTAAATTGTATGCAGATGACAGCAGGTGTGTATGTGTATGGTACTAGGGATTGATCCCAAGGCCTTTGCACTGAGCTACTTCCACAGTCCCTTTTGATGTTTTATTTAGAGACAGGGTCTCACTAACTCAATAAACTGCCCAAGCTGGACTGGAATTTACAATCCTCCTGCTTTAGACTCCCAGAGTGCTGGGATGACAGGTATGCACCTCCACACCCGGCTATGTGTACCTATCTAATCCCGAAAACTAGCACTATTGCACAAAAGTGTTAAACAGGCACAGAGAAGGTAGGCTGTGAACTCAAGGAGTCTGGCTTCACTCCTCCTGTTCCTAACCAATGTGCAAGCTGCCTCTAAGTGACTGAGTGAATGAATTAATCAGACTGGCCTGAGTCCAAATCCTAGCTCTGCCACTTAGCCTTGTGACTTGGGAGGGCCAACCTATTTACCTCTGAACCTCAGATTCCTTGTTCTTAAAGGCCAACTTCCTCCTCCTAGTTCACAGATACAAGATCCGGGAGGACAGTGGCTCAAAGACTCGGCACGCACACACGCACGCACGCACACCCCATAACAGCGAGGAGGGAGGTAGAAGCGAGGAGGGCTCCGCGGGCTCACCGGTCTGCCGAGGTGTGGCGGCTGCCTGCAGCCCAAGTCTCCGGCTCCCAGGTTCCTCCTGTTTGCCTACGCCCTACCTGGGGCCCCAAGGGCTGTCTCCGCCCCACCCCACCCCCACCCCCCAGCCCCGGGAAAGCCTGGGTGCCCTGGCGATCGGTCGGTGCGCCAGTCCCCAACCTCAGGCGGAGACGGTGGCCGCTGGGGAGCAGCCAGCCTGTAGGCGAAGGGACAGGTCTGCCCCGCCCCTCCGCCCGATTTCTCCGGAGAAGGAGCCGCCTGGCACCCGCCCTTCACCTTCCCGGCGCCCGGAGCCTGAGCAGGAGCAGAAGGCGCCCACTGCGGCGATGGAGGCGGCTGGCACCTGGGCGCTGCTGCTCGTCCTGCTGCTACTCCTGCTGAGCCTGACGCTGCCCGCGAGCCGGGCCCGAGGCCACCTGCCCCCGGGGCCCGCGCAGCTGCCGCTGCTGGGGAACCTCTTGCAGCTGCGACCCGGGGCGCTGTACTCCGGGCTGCTGCGGGTGAGGGGCCGCGGAGCGTCCCAGCGAGCGGCCGGGGTGCCCTGGAGAGGAGCCAGAGCCCCAGGGCAGGGGGCCCCTCGGGCACCCCAGGCAGGAGGTGGGAGGGATCCCCGGGGCAGAGGGACTGCGGTGCCCAGGGCTGGGGCCAGGAGCAGATTGTCCAGGCTGAGAAGGCGAGGGACGCGCCGCAGAAAGATCTCGGGCTGGGGGACCAGAGCTCGGGAGAGGCAGAGCCTGCAACGTACTGGAGAGGCAGTGAGAGCAGGAAGCTGGGGTCCCAGCCAGAGGGGCCCCAGCGCGGGGAAAGTGGTGGGCAGGGACCAAAGCTGAGAGACAGGAGCCCTCAAGGTCCGGAGTAGCTGGTGCTTAGTGAGCTTGACCCACACGGAGGGAGGAAGAAGAAAGGAGCGGGGTGCTAGGGACTGAGGAGGCTGACGCGAGGCCGGAGGTCGCAGGTTCTCGGAGGGGCAGGGCCTGGCTGGAGGAGTGCGGAGGAATGGTGTGGGAGGGCGGATGTAGCACAGCTAGGAGGGAACCCGGAGTTCCTGGAAAGAAGAGGGGGGCCTTCCAACCTGCATGGGTGGGAGTGGAAAGAGGTTCCCCATTTTAAAAGATTCTGAGGGACTTTAAGGACATAGGAAGGGGTGGGTGTCTTGGGAGAGAGAGCGCAGGTGCTCAGCAGTGTCAGCTCTAGAATTTGAGGGTTTAGCAGGGATTGGAGAAGGGGCTGGATTTGGCAGGAAGGATGATGAATGATGAGACCAAAGTGGGTTCTGGATTTTTCTGGAGCAAGAGGTGAGGGGCTGGCCAGAAGAACTGGGACGGGAACCGAAGGCTATGTTTGGGGAGGGGGCCTGGGAGTCTGGTGCAAGAAGAACTGAGCCTCCCAAGGGGTCTATTTCGAAGCCAGATGTGGTGGTGCATGCCTGTAATCCCAGCAGTCTGCCAGGCTGAGGCAGGAGGATGTCAAATTCAAGATCAGCCGAGGGGTCCATTTGTGCATGAGGGGAAGACACAGGCTTCTGGTAGAGGAGAAAGAAGCCAGACCAGATGACTCATCCAAGGGCCAGGGCCCCAGAATGGAGACAGCTTGACTGGCAGAGGCAGCCCCCCAACCCCACAGTAGCAGCCCCTTCCTCCCTCCCTGCCCACAGCTGAGTAAGAAGTATGGGCCAGTGTTCACTGTCCACCTGGGCCCCTGGCGGCGCGTGGTGGTCCTGGTTGGGCACAAGGCTGTGCAGGAGGCCTTGGGAGATCAGGCTGAGGAATTCAGTGGGCGAGGAACATTGGCTACGCTGGACCAGACTTTTAACGGTCATGGTAAGTAATGAGAGGAGGTGGGGACTGCTGGGTCCTGCCTGCCTGCACTTACAGGTATGTGACTTTTTGCAAGTGGTTTTAGTGCCTCTGTTTCTTTGTCTATACAATGGGCCAAGACTTATGCCTATCCATAGGGTTGTACAAAGGATGGAATGAGAATGGGGCCTGTGCACATACTATCACCAGGATTAATCAGTAGTAACAGTCACTGATCCAGGTGAAGCAAGGCTTGGCAAACTGATAAGCAAGCACCTCAAAAACACAGACACCCTTCTCTGGTGGGACAGAAAATGGACAACCCCTGGCTTCCCCTGCTAGCAACACAGCAATGATGAAGGCAGCCCCTGTCTTGCTCCTCTGGAGCACCCAGGCAAGTGGGAAGCTAGACCTGTCACCAAACAGGGACTGCGCAGAGCAGTGCACCAGATAGAGAGGCACAGGCTGGTATGGGGAGTCCCTGGGACTACAGGGACACTCCATATTGGGTGCAGGGCATCTAGGAAGTCTGCCCGGAAGAAAAGATGTCTGGGGGCTGGGGATTTAGCTCAGTGGTTTTGCCGCCTGCTGTGCAAGTGTAAGGACCTGAGTTCGATCCCCAGTACCAAAAAAAAAAAAAAAAAGAAAAGATGTCTGAGCAGAGACTCAGGATGACAGGAAAGGGTATTCCCAGCAGAAAGAGCAGCATGTATGAAAGCAAGGGGGTAGGAGAAGACATATTCATCCACTCAGCTGACAATCTCATTATGCCTGGTCCTGTACTGGAGACACGGGTGACCAGTCAGATGCAGTGTCACTGTGGCCCAGGGTGCTTGTAGTAAGACAGCAGAAGGAGAGAGTAGAATTCTACAATAGCAGCCGGCCACAAGGGACCTATACTGGTGGTGGAGAGTGCCAGGGAGGGCTCCTCGGAGGAGGGACCATTTGAGCTGAGACATGAAGGCTGAGTGGAGTTAGTTCATCAAGGAGGGGGGTCATGAGTAATGCAGGCATGAGGACAGCAGGGACGCAGGCCTGGGCACAGGGTCATTACACCTTTGAGGAAGTGAGAGAGGCTGCTGCAGGTGTAGCAGATGAGTAATAAAGCTGAGAAGTCAACAGGCCCCTGGTTACACCACAGCAGTTGATCTTTGGTTTTCCTGGGAGCCTTTTTCTGTTTGTTGGGGGGAGGGGTGTTGTCTTGGGGATTGAACCCAGGGCCTTTGCACTGAACTATACCCCCAGACTTTTTTTTTTTTTTTTTAATTTGAGACAGGGCCTCACTAAGTCACTAAGTTGCAGTCAGTTGCAATCCTCCTGTCTCAGCCTCCTGGGTGCTGGGGTTACAAGTGTGGGCTACCACACTCAGCTGGAGCTATACATTTTAAGCAGGATAAGGCTATAGGCAGAGTGGGAAAGATCCCGTGGGCGCTATGCAGAGGACAAAACTGAATGCTGAGACCCCGGGAAGGGAGCCAGCTGGGCCTGTACATGTGCCGGGGGATAGGGTGAGAGGTAGAGCCACAGACCAGGAGATGGATGGTGGACTGAGATAAGGAGAGGTGGGCGACTGAGGCCAGTTTGAGCCATGTGGGGCCAGGGGACACCCAGCAGGAAATGTCCAGGAGGCCACTACAGGCTGTCATTCAACAGGTGGGATATGGCCAGGGATTTAGCTCAGTGGCACCACATCTGCCTTGCAAGCACAAGGTCCTGAGTTCAATCCCCAGTACCAAAAAAAAGTGGATCAACAGGTGGGAATACTGAGAGCTCGGAGAAGGGGAAGGCCTGTCCAGAGCAGGTGTCTTGGGTAAAGAAGGAAAACAATGCAGTTTCACTCTCTTCCCTCTGCTCATACTTCAACTGTGAGGCAGTGGTGCTGAGGTAGGCAAATGGGAGGGGGAAAAAAGAGGGATTAAACAGCAGATGAGTAGAGGAAGGAGTGAATCTGCACTCATCCTGGTTAATCAGAGAGTTGGAGCCCTGAAGTATCTCCTGTTCAGGAAAATCTCCCCTCTAATCCAAAGTCAAAAGGTGGAGGAACCGGTTTGATTATGCATTTATTGAGCTCCTATTGAGTCCTCTTCCCTGGGCCAGGCAGGTACGGACTCAGGACAGGGTGCTGGGGGCACCTCCTCAGAGGGAAGGGGCCAGTCCCTCCTTGAGTCTAGCTTTCTGCACAGGAGTTTTCTTCGCCAATGGGGAGCGGTGGAGGCAGCTAAGGAAGTTCACTATGCTGGTTCTGCGGGACCTGGGCATGGGGAAGCGAGAAGGCGAGGAGCTAATCCAGGCGGAAGTCCAGCATCTGGTGGAGGTGTTCCAGGGGACAGAAGGTCAGCAGGCCGGGCCCAGCCCACTGTGCCTTGGGGGAAGGGCCCAGCCTCGCCCTGGAAGGTGCAGGAGGGGAAACCTGGGGCTGGGCTGGGACTCTGTTCACCTCCACCCTGTCTTTGTCTTGGTCCTGCCACCCTCATCTGTCTCTCTGACTCTTTTTTTCTTTCTTTTCTTTCTTTTTTTTTGTGGTAGTAGAGATTGAACCAGAGCCTTTGCACTGAGATACATCCCCAGACTTCGTGTACATTTTATTTCAATACAGGGCCTCTCTAAGTCACTAAGTCGCCCAGGTTGGGCTTGAATTTGTGATTCTCCTGCCTCAGCCTCCCAGAGTGCTGGAATTACATCTGTGCACCACCATACCCATTTCTTTCTGCCTTTTTTCTTTCCCTCCTTTTCTCTGTTTGACCTCCTCTGTCCATCTCCTGTCCTTGCCTGCCTGCCTCTGACTCTCTTTCTCCCTGCCTATCTGTCTCCATCTATATCCCTGCCGGTCTGTCCATGTGTCTCTCCCTGTCGGTCCACCGTCCACCCATCTGCCTGTCTGTGGTTCTGACCATACCTGTCTCTCTATTGTTGGGTCCAGTATCCACTCTGTCCCTGGGTCTACTCCACCCCAGCTTCCCTCTGGATCCCCACAGCCTTCTCCCTCTCTCATGCCCCGCAGGATGCCCATTTGATCCTTCCCTGCTGCTGGTCCAGGCCACCTCCAACATCGTGTGCTTACTCCTCTTTGGCCTCCGCTTCTCCTACGAGGATGAGGAGTTCCAGGCTGTGGTCCGGGCAGCTGGTGGTACCTTGCTGGGGATCAGCTCCCCGTGGGGCCAGGTAGATGGATGGGACCCTTCTCTGGCCGCTTACCTCAAAAGTTCCTACCAAGCCCCTTGAAAACCAGCTGTGCTTCCCCCTGCAGACCTACGAGATGTTCTCCCAGCTCCTGCAGCCGCTGCCTGGCCCCCACACGCAGTTCCTCCGCCACTTGGACACCTTGGTTGCCTTCACTGCCCAGCAGGTGCAGCGGCACCAGGGCAACCTGGATACCTCAGGACCTGCACGTGATCTTGTCGATGCCTTCCTGCTGAAGATGGCACAGGTGGGGAAGGTTGAGGGAGGGTGTGGGGTCCCTCTTGGATGGGGCTGGTGGTCTGGCTGCTCCCCTTGGGGTCAAATGTACCTGGGCATCTGGACCAGGTCCCTTTCTCTGTCTGCATGTGTGTGTACATGTCTTCTCTGTGTCCTCCTGCCATTCATCTCTCTCTCTCAGTACGTTGCTCTCATCGCCTCTCCCGTTCCCACTCAGAAAGCCTTGGAGTGCTGGCGTCTTGTGCTCCCTTTTGTCTCCTCTTTCCTCTCTCCTTCCTCACCTCTGTGATCGAGACTTGCTGACCTCAAACTTGCCATTTCCTTGCCTCAGTCTCCTGAGTAGCTGAGTTTGAAGGCGTATACCATGTATCTTTAATTCTTTGAGGAGCTACCATACTATTTTCCTTAGCAGTAGCACACTGTACATTGGTACACAAAGGTTGCCATTTCTCCACATCTTCACCAACGTTTAATTCTTTTTTGTGTTCTTGTTTTTCGTTGTTTCTTTGCTTTTGGTCTTTTGAGACAGAGTCTTGCTATGTAGTCTACATTAGCCTCAAATGCGAGATCTTTCTGCCCCAGCCTTGCAAATGCTGGGAATATAGGCATGTGCACCATGCCTGGCTCGCTTTCACTTTTTTCCTCTCTATTTTTTCCTATTAGACGTCTTTTATTTCTTTTAAAGCTTTTCAACAAGAGCAAATTAATATCAGGAGCCTACTTCCCAACTTTTCCAGACATTTATTTAAACTCCCTGGTGAAGTTTTAACTTGCTACTCTGCACCCCAAGACTATTTCCCCTGAACCTCTACTTCCCACAGCCTGTGTTCTCTGAGCCCCTCTGCCTGCTTTCTCCCAGGAGGAACAAAACCTGAGCACAGAATTCACTGAGAAGAACTTGCTGATGACAGTCACTTATCTGTTGTTTGCTGGGACAATGACAGTCGGAGCTACTGTCCGCTATGCCCTCCTGCTCCTTCTGAAGTATCCTGAGGTCCAAAGTAAGAGCCTTTTCTGCCATCCAGGCCCCAGGGACAGAAGCGAGGGTTCAAGAGGGTGGAAGGCACAGGTAGAGGAGCCAGGCTGAACCAGTGTCTGGAGAGGAGAATGAGCACAGCGCTTGTGGTGTCAGCAGTGAGAGGCTTGGGGCTGCCAGTTGCAATGTGAAGGACAGCAAGTGACAAGCCAGGAGGTGGCTGCAGGGCCTTGTCCCCATGGCAGTATATTATGTGCTGTTCTCAGCCATAGGGAGCCATTGGGAGGATTTTGAGCAGCGAGAATATAGGGTCAGCTTTGTATTTTAGTAAAATTCTTTGGGCTTCCCTGCAGAATTGGATTATAGGGCCAGGGATTTAGCTCAGTGGTGCCGCCACTTGCCTCACAAGCACAAGGTCCTGAGTTTGATCTCCAGGACAAAAAAAAAAAAAGAATTGGATTATAAAGGGTGAGAGAGGGAGCCAGGAGCCCCAGGAGAAGGACAGGGACCTAAAGGGAGAGGACAGTGCTGGGCGAGGCTGTAAGGATGAAAGAGAAGCTGAATAGGCAGGTCTTGGAGAATAACAAGGGAGGGAGATGTGCAAGGACAGGCCGAAGTCTGTGGCTGGGAACAGTGGGCCCATCCTGAAATGGGCCAGGAGGGGTGAGGAAGGAATAGGTTTCAAGGGAGACACTCAGGCCACTTTGGAATGAGTTGAGTAGGGTCCAGGGCCATGCATCTAGGAAGTCATAAGACTCTCAGGTCAGGTCTGGAGATTAAAATCTGGGGCCCTCAGCCAGGCTTGTGGTGCATGGCTATAATCTCAGCACTCTGGAAAGCTGGGACAGGAGGATCTCAAGTTCAAACCTAGCCTGAGCAACTTATCATATTAGTGAGATTTTTGTCTCAAAAAAATTTTAAATAGTAATAATAAAGGGTTAGGGATATAGTTCAGTGCAAAAGTCCCTGGGTTCAATACTCAGAAATGAAAAAAAAAAATTACAGAACAGGGAGGGTGAGTGATAAAGAGGCAGGGCTGGGAATGAGCCCCAATGAATTCTGGGTCAGACAGCCATGTTAAATGCAGTCAGGCTGTGGCTTGGACTGGCCTGGTGGTGTTGGGAGAATCAGCTGTGCCTTGGGGCTCTCTAGGCCTCAGTTTCTGGTGCCTACTGCGCAGGGCTGCTATGGGATGATGAGGACAGATGTATAAAGCCCCACACAGAATGTGCGGGCCCCAGGCTCAGTGAGGATTCAGAGGCTGCTCCTCCCTGCCACCAGCCTCACCCGGAATCACTGCTGCCCAAGACATTAGGGCTTCTGAGAGGAAGGTCAGAGCCCCTCACCCCTACTCTCCTCTTGCTTGCAGAGCAAGTTCAGGAGGAGCTGATGCGGGAGCTGCAGGCTGGCCAGGCACCATGCCTGGGGGACCGGGTCCGCCTCCCTTACACGGACGCAGTTCTGCACGAGGCTCAGCGGCTGCTGGCGCTGGTGCCCATGGGCATGCCCCACGTCGTCACAAGGACCACTCACTTCCGAGGATACACACTGCCCCAGGTGGGTATGTGGATGGGCAAGGCCCAAGGGTGGTCTCTGCCTCAGGGTCTCAGTCATTTGCTGAGACAGATGCTATTGGTGTATCTGACCTTTTCTTGGTTTTTACCCCCAGTACTGAGGACTGAACCCAGAGCCTCCTTTATAGTGAGCTGCATGCTCAATCCTGCCATTTTTTTTTTTTTTTTTTTTGGGTGCCGGGGATCGAACTCGGGTCCGGCAAAACCACTGAGCTAAATCCCCAGCCCAATACTGCCTTTTTTTTTTTAGACAAGTTCTCACTAAGTTGATAAATTGTCCAGGTTGAGCTCAAATTTGCAATTCTCCTGCCTTAGCGTCCCGGTGCTGGAATTACAGGCCTGTGCCGTCAAAGCTGGCCATCTTTATTTTAATTTCTGTCTTCCTATCTGTCTGTCTGTTAGACTGTACTGGAGATACACAGGATCTGTCCCTTTACCTCCTCTCTCCCTCCCTGTCTCTCATTTATTGAGTCCCTGCCCCTTCACTGGAAAGCAGCTGAGACCTAGAACCACCAGAGGGCGATATAGCCCAGGTCCTGAGGTCAATACAAGCTACTCCTTGCTTCCTTGTAGAATCAAACCACAGCCATTAAAATCCAACCACTGTTGCTTCAATCTTGGACAAATTGCTGTATTCTCTGAGCCTCAAAATACCCCTCTTCTAAATTGAGAACAGTAGTTGTATCACCTTGGAGCTATAAGATAATGCTTGTGAAACACCAATTCACCTCTTTGTGGCTGCCGTGGAGGGGTTCTATACAATAAGCAGCAGCAGTGCAATGATACTGAGAAGCCAGGTGTGGTGGAAACAAGCCTGTAGTCCCAGCACTCTGGGAGGCTGAGGCAGGAGGATCACAAGTTCAAACTGGGCAACTCAGTAACTTAACAAGATCCTGTTTCAAAACTTTTAAAAATGAGAAAAAAGGCTGGGGATGTAGTTCAGTGTAAAGGTCTGAGGTTTATTCACCAGTACTGAAAAAAAAAAACAGAGAGTGTGCAGATGTGCACATGACCAAATATATGTGTGTGTGAGATACATGTACCACATACCTGTTACACATAGGTTGTGTGTGTGCGCTCACAATTAACACCCAATTAATACTGATGTCATTGTGTTTTGTACTGTCGTCCCAAGCCCTCCAGACTTGTACTCAGCTGTCCTACACCAAGTGGTCTGGCCTGGTAAGAACTACAGTTTTATCGTTTCCCTCAGGGTACTGAGATCTTCCCTCTCCTCGGCTCTGTCCTGCACGACCCTGCAGTCTTCGAGCAGCCAGAGGAGTTCAACCCGGGCCGTTTCCTGGATGTGGAAGGACGGTTCAAGAAACCTGAGGCATTCCTGCCCTACTCCTTAGGTATAGCCATGGGGCCTGGCTGAGGGTGGCAGCTGGGGGCACCTCCCCTGCACCCTGGGTTCCCTACTGCCACCCCACCCCCTAGCGGACCTGGGGGTGCACAGGACAGCCTCAGCTCCATCCCCTCTTCTTCCCAGGTAAGCGAGTCTGCCTTGGAGAGGGGCTGGCACGAGCAGAGCTCTTCCTCTTCTTCACGGCCATCCTGCAAGCCTTTTCCTTGGAAAGCCCAAGCTCTCCAGACTCCCTGAGCCTCCAGCCAGCCGTCAGCGGCCTCTTCAACATCCCGCCAGCCTTCCAGCTGCAGGTCCGGCCTGCTGACCACCACCCCACTGTGCAGACCAGATGAAGGAGGAGCTCAGGGAGGTGGGAGCTGCCAGAATGACATACCCAGCCTCAGACAGCATAGTGGACAGGGTGTGTGTCCGGAGCTCCGGGTCCACACCAAAAGCAGCCCAATTACACCTGCAGCTGTCTCAAGACAACACAGACAGTTGGCCAGGTGTTGGTGCTGGTGTTGACAGTAGTCCCTGTCCCCACCCCCCACCCATATACAGCCTCAAGGCCCCTATTCTGTATCAAGGTCCCCTCTAGACCCCCTAGAAGAGCTAGAGGACCAAGTGAGGGCCAGCTTCCAAGGCCTACTGCTAGGAAAGAGGCCAGATCTGACCTCCTTGTGACATAAAGGTCCTTATTTTGCAATAAAAGTTTGTTTCTGGCCCCTGGTCTGGCCCAGAGCATGGCCTTCTATGCATATGTGACCATGTCTGTCGCAGTGAGGGGTGGGGGTGAGTGAATCCACCCCTCCCCTGAGGCTGGGCGGGAGCTGGAAAACATGGTCACCACCCACTCTGGCTGTTGACATCAGTACCAGATGTGGAGCTGGGGGTGGTGGGGAGGGAGGGCTGGGCCATCCTGGTTGGGGGCCTGGGCTGGGGAAAACCTGAAGCCAACAGACTCAGACCCTGGGGACTCCCCACGTCTGAAAGCAGATACTTACAATCCCCAGTACTTGCACACGGACCCCTCTCCCGGCTCGTCCACCACCCCTTCCCTCCTGCCCTCCCTTCACAAGGAAACCAAAGGCTTATTTCTCTTTCTTCTTTCTTTCCTTCTCTTTCTTTCTTTCTTTCTTTCTCTTTCTTTCTTTCCTTCTTTCTTTCTTTTTTTTGTACTGAGGATTAAACCCAGATCCTTTGCACTTAAGCTACATCCCCAGCCCTTTTTTACATTTTTTAATTTGAGACAGGGTCTTCCTAAGTCACTAGATTGCCCAGGCTGAGTTCAAATTTGCTATCCACCTGCCTCAGCCTTCCAGAGTGCTGAGATTACAGGCATATGCCCAGCTACCTTTTTATTTCTGTTGTTTTGTTTTGTTCTGTTTGGTTTGTTTTGGTTTGGTTTGGTTTGGTTTTGCTGACACAGTGTGTCACTGTGTAGTTTAGGCTGGCTTTGAATTCACTTTGTGACCTAGGCTGGCCTCAGATTTAGGGTGATCCTCCTGCCTCAGCCTGTAATCCCTTCTCAAAAAAAAAAAAAAAAAAAGATGAGACTGGAATTAAATTCTGCCACTTGCTACCTGATTATACCCTGTGGAGGATTTACCGTCTGAAAGCCCTAACAGAAGAAAGAAGAAATGTGTAGCCCCCTTTCCGTCTCTCTTAGACAGCTTTCTTTCTCTCAATAAATTTTTCCTACTCTTAAAAAAAAAAGAAATATGTAGGGGGTGGGGGGTAGATCAGTGGTAGGACACTTGCCTAACATATATGAGCCCCTGGATTTAATCCCCATCAGCACCAAAAATTAAGAAATGTGAAAAATTCTGGAACGTAATACAAACTAAATGCATGCTAAGTTCTTGAATTTACTACTGCTATATTTCAAACGATGTGAAAAGGAATGAAGTTTAAGGTTTTTTCTTTTAAAAATTTGAGGCAGGGGCCAGGGATGTAGCTCAGTGGCACTGCACCTGCCTCAAAAGCGCAAGGTCCTGAGTTCAATCCAGGATACCAAAAAAAAAATTTTTTTTGAGACAATGTCTTGGCTTTCCTTTGCACTCAAAAATCATATTCAGGGAAATTTGGAGCCAGCTAGAAATTTTTTTTTAATTAACTTATTTTAAAAAAAAATAGGGTCAGGGATTTAGCTCAGTGGTTTCACTGCCTCCTGTGCAAGCGCAAGGACCCGAGTTTGATCCCCGGTATCAAAAAAAAAAAAAATGGACTTTGCACTGCACTGGTATAAAAATTGACATGAGGAGCTGGAGTGTAACTCGCTGGTACAGCACTTGCCCATCCTGGGTGGGCCTCTGGATTCCATTGCCAGCACTACAAAAAAAAAACAAAAAACCAAAAAATAGTTGACATCAGGAAGATTTAGTAGTAGTAAAAAATATGAACTCACATGGTTTCTGCCTCAGCTTCCCAGAGTATGAGATTATCGGCATGCACTACCACACCTAGCTTCTACAATATTCACTACTGATTTTCACACTTATCACAATGAACACATATCAGTGTACGTGTTTCCCAGATGATCTCATATTTTATAGTAAGTTTGTTCAAATCAGAATCCAAATGTCATCTGATATGTCTCTCTTTTTTTTTTTTTCTCGATACTAGGTTTTTTGGGGTTTTTTGGATTTTTTTGTCTTTGGTACTGGGGATCGAACTCAGGACCTTCCACTTTCAAAGCAGGCACAGTGCAACTGAGCTAAATTCCCAGCCCTCAGTACTAGGGATTGAATTCAGGACCTTGCACTTGTGAGGCAGGCACAACGCCACTGGGCTAAATCCCAGGCCCTTGATATGTCTCTTAAATTGTTAAGATCTGTAACCATTCCCATTCTTTTGTATGCCATTTATTTCTTAAATAAGCCAGGTCATTGGCCCTGTACAATTGTTCTTGATCTGGATTTGGCTGATGGCATCTTTGCAGTGTTTCAAGATGTCCTTCACCCCCAGAATCTCCTGGAAACTGGAAACTAGATCAGATTAGAGATCATTCTAGCAAAAGCTCCTCCCTGGAGGCACTGCACCTCTAATGGTCCCACATGTAGTGACATTTGAGGCTCGGGTGTCCAGGTCTTGATCCCTCTGCCGAGAAGCCTTCAATCAACCTTTCACCAACTGGCTTTAGGGGAAATCTTACACCAGATTAAGGGTAGGCTGTAGCTTAGTGGCAGAGAGCGCTTGCCTAGCATGTGCAAGACCCTAGGTTTGATTTGGTTATTAGCAAATAAGTAAGTAAAACCAGACCAGATCATGTCTTTCCTACTCAAAACCCACCAGTGGCTTCCACCCCAAGATGAAGTCCAAAGTCTTCGCCAGGCCAGACCCCTCTCTGACCCTACTACCCTCCATCCCACCTCCATTCATTCCAGGCACAATGCAGCCTCCCCAAAGTTCATCATGCCTAGCTCCTGCCTACCTCCGGGCCTTTGCAGTGGCTGTACCCTCTTCCTGGAAAGCTCTTCCCCACATGGCTCACTTTCAATCTCCATTAGAATCTCACAGAGGCCTTCCCTAACCATCCTCTCTGAAATAGCACTTCCACTCCTTGCTGTTTCCTCTTCTGCTTTATTTTTCATCAAAGCCCCTTGTATTCCTTTTTTTTTTTTTTTTTTTTTTTGGTACCAGGGATTGAACTCAGGACCTTGCACTTGCAAGACAGGCACTGGAACCAATGAGCTAAATCCCCAGCCCAAAGCCCCCTTGGATTCTGACAGATATTTTTGTAATGTTTCTCTTCAATCTAGAATGGGAATTCCATTCATACTGTAGAAGCCCAAGCCCCTAGCAAAAGGGACACTCCTATCCACGTGCACTATTTATTTATTTAGATACTGGAGCTCAAAACCCAACGTTATTCTACCACTGAGCTACAACCTGAGCTCTTTTTACTATTTTTTAAAATTTTTGCTTTATTGGTACATTTTAGGTATACAATATAATGACATTCATCATTGGAAATTTGCACCTTTACATAATCTCTCAGTTCTTAACTTTTTTCCCCT